TTCATAAAGACAGTGTTTTTGAACGAATCAAATGAGTCAATGATTCAGTAACCCATTCATATAGACAGTGTTTCTGAACGAATCAAATGAGTCAATGATTCAGTAACCCATTCATATAGACAGTGTTTCTGAACGAATCAAATGAGTCAATGATTCAGTAACCCATTCATAAAAACAGTGTTTTTGAACGAATCAAACGAGTCAATGATTCAGTAACCCATTCATAAAAACAGTGTTTTTGAACGAATCAAACGAGTCAATGATTCAGTAACCCATTCATAAAGACAGTGTTTTTGAACGAATCAAATGAGTCAATGATTCAGTAATCCATTCATAAAGACTGTTTTTGAACAAATCAAACGAGTCAAAGATTCAGTAACCCATTCATAAAGACAGTGTTTTTGAACAAATCAAATGAGCCAATGATTCAGTAACCCATTCATAAAGACAGTGTTTTTGAACGAATCAAATGAGTCTGATTCAGTAACCCATTCATATAGACATATAGACAATACAACATTTCGTATTTGTATGTTTAAAAAATATTTAAAACATTAATCTTGTAAAATTCTTTATGCATTACATTTTTGCAGTGTAAACGCATTTATGGCACCTCTGCTTCAGCAAACAGTCTGTAAATACATCTAATACTTCAGATGCAGCTATTGCTATTTCTATTTCTAGTCACAGAGCACTTTGTTTTGAGAGTTGTTTAAGTGAGAGAACATCTGTAATTTTGTCCAGATTAGGGAATTGTAATGTTTAATTATTTTTTGCATTAAAAAAATTATAGATTTTTGTTTTAATATGCTGTCAATTATAGTTTTTAGACAGAAAATCAGAAAAAAACTGGTATCGGCAGGTCACACTTACAAAAAAAATCTGAATCAGCCAAGAAAATTGCAATCGGTGCATCTCTAAACATTACACTGAAAATAAGCTGGAATTTTCCCTTATTTTCCCACTGAGTCACTCTATTATTCCCTCCCTCTCTTATGCGCTTCAGCAGAAATGAAACTAATCGTGTGTGAGTGACACACACACACATGAAGTGAGTTTCCTAAGAACACACTAGAGAGACATTACTGCCACACTGCTGCAATCTATACGGGAAATATCTATACAGAAAACTATTCACTAACATTCAAGTTTCTAGTTTTATCCCGCACCAAAAAAAAAAAAGTTCTGCTTTTATAATTTTTCATCAAAATGTAACCCCACACTTACACATTACAGAAATCAAAACACTGCGTTAAACCCGTTTCACTTTTAAAATGTGATTTACACTACCGTCAAATGTTTGAAATAATTAAGATTTTTTAAAATGTTTTTGAAGTCTCTTCTGCTCACCAAGGCTGCATTTATTTGATAAAAAATACAGCAAAAATTGTGAAATATTACAATTTAAAATAAGTGTTTTCTATGTGAACATGTTCAATTCAGACGAAACTTCTGAGCAGACGAAACGACTGTCTTCAGAAAAGCTTCGATGTCATTTTCATTTCGTCTTTCCTGTAATGTCTGATAGAGTAACGTTTGTGAGCGCTGCGCTGATTTGATTACAGATCAGCCGTTACCGGGTAAACCGCTATATCTCCCGCTCCAA